CTTTTCCTTATAAATTACCCAGTCTCAGGTATTTCTATTATAGCAACACAAAATGGACTAATACACAAGGTGACACAGCCTTTGTGGTCCGCTAACACCCTGGTCTGTTAGGGCATAGGCTTCTAGTTAGTGTCGTTACTATATCAGTGCAAAGTGCTCCAGCCCAAAGCCGGCCACCAGAGCCCGCAAGAAGTTCCTTTGATGATAACGGTGATGTTTACCCCTTCCCAGGAGAGGAATTTCACTGTCCAGTTCCTGCAGCGTAAAAGGGGAGGGGGAAGAGTGTGAAAAGTTGTTTAACATGGCTGTGCTGGTGTTAAGCCAGCCATGAGACCTAATATGGGGAAACAAGCATCCATAAATATAATAAGTAGATGGCATAGTACATTGTAAGGTGATATATGTTTTGGAAAACAAGGCTGAGTGGGAGGACTGAGGGGTGCTCGCGTGGCAGCGTGTGGGTGGGGGTGCGATTCACGATTTTCAATTGGGGATATTGGAGCAAAGACTGAAGACATGAGGGAATTAGTCGTGTGGCACTCAATGGCAAACGTACACAGACATAACTGTTTACACGTACAGATACACTTTTTAAACAAAAACGGGCTCATACCATATATATGAGCCTGCAGTTTGCTTTTTAAAATTCAGTAGTGCTGTGTATCAGATTTATGGGAGAAGCAGAAACCTTGCCTCCCTGAGACCCTTTTTGCTGTTTATGCTTTCAAAGGGTGGCACCAGTGTTATCCCAGGCTGCGCCTCTATTTCCTTCATCTCTCACTGAGTGACACAGAACTGCCCTTTTGGTCTCTTCCCAGTTCCTTTCCTTTAGATTTACGTGGGGGGTGTTAAAGAGTTGTTGCCCAGACCTCTTCCCCTGTATTCTCTCCCCTCTGTGTTATGTTAGTTTGCAGGTGCTCCTGTAACAAATTACCACAGACAGATTTATTCTTTTACAGCTGATGGTCAGAAGTCAGATCAGTTTCACTGGGCTAGAGGCAAGGTGTGGGCATGGCTTGTTCCTTCTGGAGGCTCCTGGGAGAATGTTTCTTTGCCTTTTTCAGCTTCTGCTGACTGCTTGTATTTCTTGGCTTGTGGCCCCTTCCTCTATCTTCAAAGTACAAGACTCCAATCTCTGCTTCTGTCATCACATCACTTTCTTGGGGACCAACTCCTCCTGTGTCCCTCTTATAAGGACTGTTGTGATCACATTAGGCCCAGCTGGATAACCTGGGATAATATCTGCATCACGATCCTCACTTTAGACACATTTTCAAAATCTCTTTACCATGTAAATTAACATTCACAGCTTTTGGAAATTAAGACATGGATACATTTGGGCAACCATTGTTTCAGCTTGAAGAGGCCCACTTCCCTGCTGAGCTCCTCCTCAGAGCTGCTCTCCTACCTTTTGTCTGGGGAACACAAAATACCCCTCTCAGTCTTCAGTGGAAAACCACAGAGCTCTTCCCTGATCCATTGATTCTACCACCCTTGCCCTAATCCTTAACCCTTCATGTCCCCATTTCCCTCCCTCTTCCATCCATCTTGGAGGCCATGGCCCATCATTAGGA